TTTTCTGTCCATCTTCTCGCAGAAGGCATCCGATCTACATTTCGTAGTTGAGAATCAATGAAACTTTTCGTTACCTCGTTGAGTCGGTTCTCTATACATTTGAAAACTTCGCGATTGTAGCACTCTTTCAATTCTTTCAAAGCATCCGTTTTATTTTTCAGTTGTTTTTTAAGTTTACACATTGTTTTAACAACTTTTCGTTGAACTTTGTACATTCGACTCTTACGCGGCGTCATTTTCTTTGGGGATATTCCTGCTTCTGACAAAAAACCAAATTTTCTTTTTTTTGGTGTTGTTAGTACAATTGGAATGTCATTATCTATTGTATTATTATTATTTATATCATCGATTGTATTATCATGTATATAATATAACGGATTACAGTTTTCTATATTGTCTGATTTTGAACAAGTGTAGGAATTAACATTTTTAACGTTTGTAACATTTTCGCATGAACTCTTTGTTACGTCAATATCGGTGGGAGTATTCTTATAGACTGTGTCATTAACGGTACTGCAGTTATCGTTTTCGTTGATTGCGTTAATTGATGTGGACATGCATGCGATTCATTACAAACAAAAGGTGATTTAACAACAGAGTTCAGTGGCTGCAAATAATTTGTATTTTCTGGATCGTTTTCAAAAGGAGATGAATCCTGTATTGAAATCAAGTTCGATTCGGTTTCTAAGCGCGACGGAATCGCGAAAGGATTCAAAGCGTCTCTAGTAAAATTAACGAAATCTGTTTGCTGAAAATGGTCTTCGCATATGAATTTATTACGACACTCTTGTGTAACATCAATGTTACAAATATTTTTCCACTTTATCGAAACGGCTGGGTTTCTCGTAAATCTATAAAAATGCTTATTTTTTATTTTCTTAGTCCCACCTGTGCACCAATAGTACGCATTGTCGCATCCCGGAAATCGGCAAGAAAACTTAAGTTGAGGAGTCATTGTGAAAATGTAAAGCTATCTGTATGCGAGAAATCAGACCATGACTAGTACAAAACTTACTACGCAACTTATCACAACATATCTATATCACAGCCTGGTTTATAGTCAGTCTTCCATCAATGTTACATTGTTTTTATTGGTGATAATCTGCCAATCAACCTGCCAACCAAACCCCGTGAATCACACACATTCCAGTTTCAGTTTCGTACCTCGAAACTTCCTATGAAAAAACATGCAATTATTAGAATGGATTTGAAGTTAAAGAAAAATTGAAACATATATAATCTTCATGACCTTGTAAAGTTTATAATTTACATTACAATTACACAATTGCATAAATTACCACAATAAATACATTCGTCAAACTCACCGTTCCAGTAAAAAAAACGTCTCCACGCTATGCATTTAACATTTTCAGAAATGCACATCGAAAGTAATATTTCCTGGCAGAATGAATACAAGGTACTACACCTTCTGTGTGTAGCGGCGATTCGACCCTACGAAATAAAACATCCGTAAGAAACCTCTTTCATTCATTCCAAAAACTCATGTTTTAATTTCTTTTGTTCACTCACCGTTTTAATTTCTTTTGTTCTTTCACCGTTGCCCTATGCCTCCTTTGGCGGCGAATTTTTTCGTTCTTACTCGACGAAAAAGAGTCGTTTTCACTCGACATGTGCTCGACCTTTATATATGTTCTGTGTGCTCGACACTGTAATCCTTTATACATATATGTTCTGTGCTGTCAGAGAGAACTCTGGTGCTGTAATCAGACCGAAGATGGATCGATTTTCTTTGCATGAAACTTACAACTGCTTACAACAATGGCGGCACAAAAGAGAATTTTATTCGATCAGTTTAGGTTATCATCGACAGTTTTGGGCTCGCTGCGCGCGCATCATTTCCCCCGTTTTCGTTAGGAAACGTGTCACCAACTCTCCAATCTTAGTTTCAACCCCATGTCAATCAGCTTGAGCGTATTGCGTAATGTCACAACTTTTGGTTTGTGTGCTGAGAGGTTATAAATTCGAGTGTGTGTTTTGCAAAGATATAATATTTTTTAATTATTATTCGAAAATAGAAATACAGCAACAGTTTACGCTGAAGGTTAATTTTTTGAAAATATGTAAATTATAATAAAATATAAATTCTATTATATTACATACACACTCAGAAATATGTAATAAACTTTAATGTAATTTGTATATGTATAAAATTTTTATATAAAAATAATAAGGTACGTATAATAGAAAGTATTAAAAAGGTATAGAAGTATTAAAGCTAAAGTTGAACTTCCAAAGTATAGGAAATATAGGAAGTATAGGAAAGTATAGGAAAAAAGTATAGGAAGACAATTACTGTACGATATGTAATGTATACTATAATATTTTCAGTTTTTCGTGTCTGTTTCTTTTCAAGAGCAGAAGTTGGAAAGAAACATCTCATCGAATACCATGTTCTGACTTTCAAATGCAGCAAGACCGCACCATTATAAAATTGCAACTTTTAATTTGTAAATTAATGTATGTACAATAATCCGCTGCAATCCGTCGAAGCTCTTGTTACCATTCTCAGTCAACTTAATACTCTCGGATATCTATCTTCGTTGCTCTTGGCTACTCCCCGACCTACTGCGACGACCAATCAATTCACTACTAGAAAAGAAGAGAACTACTCCGCGACTATTTCTCTCTCTTTCAAGTCTTCAGCTTCTCTCGTATGAACGCTCCGTCTATCTTATAAGTCTATGGGTTAGATATAGATAGATAGAGTGAGATGATAGATAGAGTGAGATAACACATAAAGTCAAAGGCCCTCTATTATCGAAAAAACGAGAAGTATATTTCTTTGGTCGGCGACGTTGATGACGTATCTTAAAAATAAAACGTGAAAATTTACAGATCCGGACTTTGCGTCGCGATATCTCCGCTCGTAGGGCACGTAGAAAATAAATGAAAGCACTTTTATCATACAATTTAAGTTTTTCCTGTCGATTGAGCATATGTAGAACTTGATCGGTTCAGCCGTTACTGAGATCTGATCATCTCGACCCCGAAAAATTCTCAGTTTCGCGTAAAGGAGGCACGGCAATGTCGCGCGCTTGGCTTAGCGCCGAGACACTACCGTGTCTCCAGATAGAAAAAATTCGTTCGGCCTCGGCATTAGAATGAGGTAAAGAAAGAACTGCTTCAACTAATAACTGTAAATTTGGAAACATTATTTCATCATTAAAATCTTTATGTGTTAATATTTTGCCCCACATTCATCAATTTCAAAAGAAGCTAAGCCTTTTTTGTTCGTCGTTAAAAATGGATGATAAAATGTGCCATTCAAAATCTAATTTAGAAATATTTATATCTTTTTATTAATTACAGCAATATGAGATAAATCTTTAATTTTTATAGATACGACTTTCATCGTAAAGAGCAATCTTCGGATATAAAAAAGTAAAATATTCAAAAAGAGAATCCTTGTACAGTAAACGTTTTAGCATTTCTTGAATTGTCGTTTTATAAAAGTCTAAACTTGTTAATTTAATTTGTTTTTTACATTCCAAAGGTAATAATTCTAAAAGATTCTCACATTCCGATCCAACATAAATATTTTTTAAATTTAGTATATTTTATTCATTGTCTATACTTAAATTACTCATTTTAACGAATTAACTGTCATAAAATTTTGAATCAATTGACGAATTAATTATTGGTTAGTTTCAAATAATTTGTAAATTAAAATTTTGCGTGACTGGAATAAAGCATTACAGCTGTAAAAAAATTCAACACGTATTTTGAAAATAAAGAATAAGCTTTAATTGTGTTATAAAGTGTGAGATAAAATAAAACTTCCGCAGATTTTAATTTATCTTCAACTACTGCTAAAATAAAATAATTTTGTAACACGTTCCAATTCTCAAGAATTCTAACAACGCATTTTTGTAAAATGAGCCATCTAGTATTCGATAATTTTAATAATTTATTCCTTTCTACTTCGAAAAATTTTTGAAATTCTCTTAAAGTTGCACATCGTTTCGCACTGTCCAAAATATAAGTAGAAATACTTCTAATTAAATTTTCACAAGATGAAGGCAATTTTTCGGAAGCTTTACTGGCAACAATCGCGGAGGAATGTCAAATGCAATTAACGTTACTAATCGCAGTACTTCTAATTTTAAATGTTGCATAAAAGAATTATTGCGTTCAATCATAACTGATGCATTGTCACATGCCATTCCGACAATATTATTAATTGAAATTTTTTTTTCTTCTAAAAGATTTTTAAAAACATTGAAAAGTTTACGTGCGGAACAATCTTTAGCATCTAAAGAAACTAATTCTAATAGTTGTGTCACAACTTTTTTGTTTACGGGGGAAACATATCGAACAAGAACACACATTAATTTTGAATCTGAAATATCGGTACTTTCGTCGATTAAAATTGAAACCTAGAACATTGTAAATTATCGACAATTTTTTCGACCTCGCGTTTTGCTAATATATCTTTAACAATATATGTACGTTTAAGCCGGCCTAATGCAAAATCTTGAACAACTTTAGGATCTGTGCAAATATCTTTCAATAGTGGAATTAAGTGATCTGCGGTATAAAAAGCGATATTATGTCCAGCGTAAAATGTTGCTAATTTAATTTCGGCTCGTTTAACTTTATCTCTATGTGATAATTCTGTTAATTTATTAACATCATTATTAATTAATAAATTTATATTTTCTATATGTTTGACCGTCTGTGAATGTTGAATCAAATCTGTTTTACAACATCTGATGAGTTTATTGCATACAGTACATATTGTTTTCTTTTCTTGGTGGTAAGGAGCCAACCATCCTTTAGAAACATTTTCATCTAGCCATGAAGTTTGATACTCCCTAATCTTACGTTTCTTAATATACATACATATGAATCATTTATATATATATAAACATTTCAAATTGCAAACTCTGTTTTGTATTATATATCTGCGTTTTAATTGATAAATCTGTAACGATATTTATGTCTATTATTTACTATATTATTTTTTTACTATATTACAGCCGACCTACTGGCTCGGAACAAAAGGTGCCTACTATGGGAGTCGCAGATGAAATTCGATCAACGAATCCAGATCATATAGGTGGCTACCAAGTAGCTCTGCCTATTTTTACAGGTATAGAAACAAAGTTCGGTCTTTGCTTACCCAGATTCCAAGCAGTTATCGGAAAGTAATAGTATTATTATCAAACGTGTAACAGAGTAAGTTTGTAGCAATCCCTGCCATAAATAATCTACGATTACTGCACGCTGATTCATGCTTCACTGACGGTGAAGCAAATGTGGTATGTGTGAGCTTCACAAACTACAAATAATAAATCCACGTTTTATTTCAACAATCATCTTGGCCATTTTGGTATCATGCAGACCACGTGGAATCAGCATAAGAACGAATCGTCGATTGATATTAACTCGATGCATACGACATACAAAAATGATCGTAAAATGTAATTATGACTCGATTAAAGAAAAGTACAAAATCCATGGTTGCGGAATGTCCAAGAACGCTCGTGATAGCTGAATCGATGCAGTCAATTGATACAGGAACAAAACAATGGCATTCAGACTATTTATTTTGATACTATAAAGATATGTTATATCAAATTGATGCCATCTGTATGTAATTTTTACAATGCATGAAAGAGAGAGAAAGTGTGCGCGCGCGCATGTGTGTGTGTCATTTATCGACGATTTGTTATTGCTAATTTGAAACGTTTCTGCCGATACGCGTATAATAACTAATCGAATGTGTGTTCGTTAAATCGTGAATGATTATCGCCAACGAAAATGAGTGTGGATTATAATCCGTGATGGCCCCGATGTGTACGTACCATATATATTTATACAGTTCAGAGTAACATATTAGGCCTCTGTAATTACATTTATTATTTATCCAAATGTCTAGCTGTATAATTCTTAACTGATGAATAAAAGGCCAATAAATCTGTTTTTATTATTTGTTCGTCATACACAATTGTAAAATACATTAAATACCGATAAATAATAATATAAGTATAAATAATATTCACATATATATACAGTGGCAGAAATAATAGGTCCACTAACTCATTAGTTCTTTTTCAATTTGCAAACATATGTGTTAATGCTAGGTCAGATTCCCTTTTCAGTTGAATGTCGACACATTCGAAAAACATGTTTGTATAACAAATTAAAATTAACAATAAACCGGTAAATATATAGATTAGGGGAGCCACCCCCGATGATCTTGACCTTGACATATGTTGTCAAGGTCATGACCCTGAGTAACCTCCCGCAGGTTTTAGGTGGCGGTCACTGTCCGTTAAAAAGTTATTAACAAAAAAAGTTTCAAAATTAACGTACCATTTCTCGGAAATTATACATATTAACGTATAATTTCTGCCATATATGTATTATAACAAGTACTATTTTACATCTCCTTCTGTTTAAAGTAACTCTCACCTCCCCCAACCCCCTGCGAAGGGGCACACGACTTCTACGATTGTACTGTTGCTATGATAGTACTGTCGGGGCAGACCTCTGACGACGGTCTCTGACACACACACACACACACACA